AATTATCTTCACGTTTTTGAAAGTCTGTCACATAGAAGGTGGGTTGGATTTGTCATGCTGGGCCCTTGGCCGGCAATATTAGTAGCAAAGGTTAAAAGTAGAGAGGCAGATTTAGGCTTGATGTGAGGGAAAAAAAATTCTAAAAATTAGAGCCATCAAAGATGCAATGATCTGATGCTTCGCTGCTGGTCTTCTAGTAAGGGCTGGATGGCCACTTGCTGGCCATATTGTAAAGGCTATTGGTCTGCATTGGATGGTCTTTGGCATCTCTTCCAATTCTGAGGTTCTGTGATCCTGTGTCATGGACCAGAACTGGAATCGTTTTTCCATGAATAGGGATGGATTGGCACTAGTCATCTCCACTCTCACTCCCCCCCCACCTTTTTTTTTTTTTTTGGCTAGGTAATGGGGTTGACTGACTCACCCAGGGTCATACTGCTAGCAAGTACTGTGTGTCTGAGGCCAGATTTGAACTCAGATCCTTCTGACTCCAGGGCTGATGCTCTATCCACTGCACCACCTAGCTGCCTCTCCCACTCCCTTTTTCAAGAGTGATGGCTGGGCTGAGGAGTACAAGTTGTAGTCCCAGAATGGAATGGATTTAACTAGCTTCCAAAGGGTTAAGCCTTGGATTACCTTCAGAAGCACCAAGATGCTTATGGTCCCTCTAACTACCTCAGAAGAAAACTTACAAAGACCATAGTAACTTTAATCCCTGCTTGAAGTAGGAAACATGCATGTACTCTTCCTCCAGTCTTGGCTCATCTGTTGGTTTATCTCACTCAATGCTCTGAGTTTTAGAAGCATGATAGTGGAATATCCCCCTTTGCGGCCACGAAGCATGGATCCTTTGGCACTCTAGGGCTAAATCCAAAGGACTTTGGGAAGTATATTGACAAGCTGGAGCATGTCCAGGGGAAGGTGACCTGCATGGTGAAGGGCCTGGAAACGATGTCCTGTGAGGGATTTGAAAGAACTGAGGACCTTTAGCCTGGAAGAGAAGACTTGAAGAGGACATGGTTTCTGTCTTCAGATATCTAAAAGGTTGTCATGTACTAGTAGAAATCAACTTATTCTGCTTGACCCCAGTGAGGAGAACTTGGACGAGTAAGTGGAAGTTAGAGAGACATGTTTTGATTCAATCTAAGAAAGAATTGCTGACCAAATAGAACTGAACAGTGAGACAGGTGGCCTTGGCACACGGCAACTTCCTTGTCATTGGAAGGATCCAATCATGGGCTTCCTGGGGATGCTATAGAGGAAAGTCCTGCTTCTGCCAGGGCTGGAGTTGAATGAGGTGATTGCTAAAATTCCTTCTAACTCTCAGATTCTGAGAAGAATACTAAGCTCTGAGGGATCCCTTGTCCTAGATTTACAGTAGAGGAGAAGTCATTTAGTGTAGCTCCTAGCTTTCAGACAGAAAACCTCCCCAAAACACCCAGCTGCCAAATTCCTAACAGCAAACTAAGCCTGTATGGAACAAGATTCTGAGTTTTCCTTGAGTTTCTATGATTTTTCTTTCCTGAGGAAGTCATTGGGAAATCTGAACTTTCTGGATGGCAAAGATTCCATCCATCTCTTGGGTCTATCCCCTCTCCTTGCCACCTCCTAGACAATGCCTTGGGATCAAAGGAGTTTGAGCTGGAAGAGGCATTCGAGATGATCCATTCCAAACCAGTTATTTTACAGGTGAGGAAAGTGAGACCCTTGTAGGTTAAATGACTTGCCCCAGTTCACAAAGGTAGTGCTAGCTGTGGGATCTGAACACAAATCTGTGACTACATCCTGCTCTCTAAATCTATATTCCCTCTTCCATCACAGAAGGGAAACTTTCTTTTTAAGTATCATTAAGTTTCCATCTTTTTCTTCCCTGTCACATTTCTGTTTAACATTTTTAATTGTCTTCCCATCTCTCAAAGCTTCTTTGAGCTCTTGGAAGGAAGAAAAAAAAACCCACCACAAGCAGCTCTGTAAATCTGAGTTATTATTATTATCATCATGGTAATTCTCGATCATTCTGACACCTGCTGAAGGCAAGGCTAATTAGTAGGAAAACTTACTTTTCAGCCGTGAGTCACTGGAAGCTTGTGTCAGGGGAGACTTAAATGAATCCCTCATGACTCAGGTGATATTTCCTTTCTGCATCACTGGTACCTGCCCATGGTAATTTTGGCTTCCTCAATGGGAGATGAAGTCCTAATGCCAGAGCAAAGACATGGCTAATCTAATCCAGTAGAACTGAAGAGTAGAGCAATCAATTCTCCCTTTCTGGTTTCTGTTTCACATCTGTACTGATGGTGGTGGTGGGAAACTACTCCTATTTTTTATAGCTCCTTAAGGTCTATAATTCTGTGAGAGAGACAGTGGAAGTGTTTCCTAGTGTGATGGACAGAGTGCCAGACCTGAAGACAAAAGAGACCTGAGTTTAATTCTGCCTTGGACACTTAACTAGTTGTGTGACTCAGGATTTTCTGGGCCTTAGTTTCCTCATCTTTAACGTAAGGGGGATGAACTCAATGACCTCCAAGGTCCCTTTCAGCTCTAAAGTTGTCATTCTAGGATCTCCATTTTACAGATCAGGAAACTGAATCTCAGAGAAGTATAGTGGCCACATAACCAGTGTCAGAGTCGGGATAGAACTCTAGATTTCCTGACTTCAAGTGCTCAGTGCCCTTTCCATTATACCAAAATGAATGACGTGATAGAAACAACATTGTAGAGTCTAGAAAAACTGGGAGATCCCAGCTCTGATCCTTGATCTGTTCTTGGGTAAACCATTAAGCCTTTCTATGCCGCTATTTTCTCCTCTGTAAAATGATGGGGTTGGATGGGATAATCTTGAAAAGTTCCTTTCAGTTCCATGTCCTATGATCATTATAAAATCCCTAATTTCTTTCAAAGCTCAGCTCAAATGTCACCTCCTAGAGGAGGCCCTGCCTGTTGGATTACCTTACATACATTTTGTGTATATTTCTATGTTGTCTTCCCCATAGAATGTAAGCTCTCTGAGGCACAGGGTATTTCATTATGATCTTTGTATCCCCAATCACTGGTATAGTGCCTAACACATGGTTGGAACTCAAAATAATACTTCTTCATTGATAGTTATTTTCTCCCCAAGTTGCACATTAACTGTACCTGACTGTCAGAGTTCTTATGAAGGCTTTGGCATGACTGGTCATGGGTAACCTGACCTTTCTGGTCTTGAAGTTTATGCATTTCTTAGGCTGACCATTGGCAGACAAACCCTGGGCTGGGGAAAAGAAAGAAAGGATGTAGGAGACATGAGAGAAGAAAAAGAAAAGGATCAAAAGAATTAGAAGAGAGAAAGAAAAGTTTCAGAGAAGAAGAGTCTCAGAGAAGTATAGTGGTCATATAGCCAGTGTCAGAGAGGGGGTAGAACATCATATTCTCTACCAGATGTAGCTGGTGAGATGCTAAGTTAATACAAGTCTAATGTTCAGAATAGGAGAGGTGAAAATCATCTTATTGTTCTGTATTCTGGTCAGTCTTTGTTTGGAGCATTATGTTCAGGTCTGGGTACCATATTTTGGGAAGTATATTGATAAGGTTGAGTGCAGTGGTCATATAACCTCCTCCAGAGGAGGGAGACCAGGATGGTGCAGAAATTAGAAAACATGTCAATCAACAAACACTTATTAAGTACCTTCTATGTGTCAGGCACTGTGCTAAGGCCAAAGTGGAATAATCCCTGCCTTCAGGCAGCTTACATTCTATTGGGGAAACAATGTCCATATTTATTTACAAAATAGTTATAAAATAAATACAGGTGATTTTGAAGGGGAGGGTACTAGTAGCTAGGAAGATCAGGACAGGCTTCATGTAGAAGGTGGCTTTTGAACTGAACTTTGAAGACACCTAGGGATTCTGGGAAGTAGAGATTAGAAGGGAGCGCATTTTAGGCATGGGACACAGCCAATGCCAAGGCAAAGAGATGGAAGATGGAGAGTTCTATGTAAGCAATACCAGGAAGGCCAGTGTGGCTGGGCCATAAATTTCACAAAGGTAAGTAATGTTTAATAAGGCTGGAAAGGAAGGTTGTGGCCAGTTTGTGAAGATTAATTGATGGACTGAGGATATTTAGTCTGGAGAAGAGAGTCTGTGGATAAAATTGTTGTCTTTGGGTATCTGAAGGGCTACTATGGGGAAAGATACATTACCCCTTTTCTGCCTGGTCCCAGAGAGGAGAAATTAGAGTAATGAGAAGATGGTATAAAGAAGCAGGTAATACATGAGTCAGTTTAAATAAGAACTTGCCTATCAATCAGGGCTGTCCAAAAATGGGCTGAGCTACCTAGGGAGGTAATGAAGTCTCCATCACAGTACAGTGTTCAAACAGAGACTGGAGGGATACTATTTAGGAATGTTGTAGATGGCATTCTGGCTTAAGGATGAACCAGGTTTACTAAGTGATCTCTGAGACCTCTTCCAGCTTAGCGCTCCTGATTCTTTCATGGTCACCAATTTCTCTTTCTTTAGGATGTTAGCTATATACCAGACCCTCACTACGCTAAATTAGACAGAAATAAAACACTGTTTAGTTAGTGGTATACAGCAACACTCCCATGTACCATTGCCCCAAATCAACATAATTTTGTAATGCCATTTAGTGCTGCTACCAAACCCCACCCAAACCCTGCTATAAACGTTGTTTGCTAAATCAAACATTTAAAACATTTTTCCTGGGCAATGCATTTTCTCCTATAACACTGCTTAAGCTGATGTGTTTTTAAAGAATTAATGAATGCTGCTAAGGAAATTATTTGTACATCCTTTGCTTTTTCCAAGAGGCACCTTTTCTGTATATAGGTTAGCCCAACAGATGCAGAAGGAATTATTTTCTTTTTCATTTTTGTCTTAGATTTCTTTAATAGTAGACACTCTAGCCTGAAATCAGATGTGTTCTTCTTGGAAATGATACCACATATAAACATTCATGGGGACACTGGTGCCTACAGGCAAATTATTTTAACATGGGCTAAAAAAGAGGAAGAAAACTCATTTCTTTATTGATGGATATGAACTACTAACTGTGGCAAAACATGGGGCCCATCCATGGCTATGTGTTGGGGAATGGCCCAAACTCCACGTGTAACCCTCCTTTTCTCTCTTGTCTCTGCAGGGACAGTGTCCACTGTTCAGCTGTCATAGACATCAGGGTGATCTCTGGGGTGACCTCACTGCTGAGGCCACTTAAGTGGTTTGGAGTTGCCTCGTTTCAGTTGTTGTCTCTTGTATCTGAGGAGGTGCTGCCAAATAAAACATTGCTGTTCTGTGACATGTTACTTAACTGTGATTTGGTTTTGATCAGGAATTGTGCCCTCCTGTACATGACCCTTTCCTGTTCCTGCTTCAGCTCCAGGTAGGAGCGGGAGAATGTGTGGAAGATGGAGGTCACAGGGAACGCCATAAGGAGGATGCCGCTAAGTATGCTGCTCAGGGCCACCACTTGGCCGGGGGTGCTCCTGGGCACCATGTCACCGTAACCCACCGTGGTCATGGTTATGACAGCCCACCAGTAGCAGGCTGGAATGCTGCTGAATTCTTGGCTATCAGCCATCTCGTTCTCAATGACATAAAGTAATGGGGCAAAGAGGGCAATGGCCACACAAAGGAACAGCAGCAAGAGCCCAAATTCCCGGGTGCACCGTCGGGCCGTGAGCCCAAGCGTCTGCAGGCCCAGAGAGTGTCTCGCCAGCCTCATGACATACAAGATCCTCAAGGCTCGCAGGATGCGGAGCACCAGGCCCACCTTGTCCAGGTAGCTGTTGCCAGAGCTAGGCTTTTTTTGGCCCACAGATGTGCTATCTACCACCAGAGTAATGTAATAAGGGAGGATGGCGATTATGTCGATCAGAGTCAGGGGGCTCCGGAGAAAGACAAACTTGCTGGGTGCTTGGATGAACCTCAGCAGGAACTCGAGGGAGAACCAGCCCACGCACACTGACTCCACAATGAAGATGTTGTAGCACATCTGGGAGCATTCACCCTGAGGAATAGAAAAGATGCTAGTGTCAGGAATAAGAGGGTAATACTCTTTGGCCTGGAAATAAAAATGAAAGCTGGGTAAGAGAAGAATATAACTGAAGTCTATGAAATAAAAGTAAAATGAATGAGAGAATGAAGTTGGACTTATTTGCTAAATACTGTAATTGCCATCTTCAAACATTTGAAGACCTGGAGACCATACGTGGCTATGTGCCAAAGGAACCTAACAGGGAAACTGGTTATACTAGAACAAACCAAAAGGACTAACTACATTAATCTACATTGTGACCTTGGGAGAATCACTTCCTTTCTCTAGGCCTCACCTCCAAAATGAGTGAGTTGGACTATATGACCTCTTTTTTTGTCATTTGGTTGTTTCGGTCACATCTGACTCTTCGTGAACCCATTTGGGGTTTTCTTGGAAAAGTTACTAGAGTGGTTTGTCATTTCCTTCTCCAAAACCACCTCTTTGGTTCCCTCCATTTCTAGATCTATGATGATAATGATGATTCTAGTTATCCTAGAAAGAGCAGCAGACTAGAGAGACATAAGATTTATAACTGGAAGGGTCTTTAGAGACCATCTAGTCTAATCCTTTCATTTTATAAATGATGAAACTCAGGCTCAGAGAAGTCAGATGATTAGTCCGAAGTCAGATGACTAGTCCAAAGTCATACAGATAGGGTTTAGTAGAGGCAGGGTTTGAACTCAGGTTCTCTGAATCCAAATCTTGTGTTCTCATCATTACACCATTCTGCCTCAAAAGACCTGGATTTGTGTCTCGACTCTGTCACTTTTTACTGTGTTACTTTGGGCAAATCACTCCAATTCAACAAGCATTTTTAAAGTACCTACTATATAGCAAAAACTGGACTATATGTTCAGGATACAAAGGCAGACATGAAAAACAGTCCCTGTACTCAAGAATTGTACATTCCACTCATTAAGCTACTTAATCTTTTTGAAACTCAATTTCCTCATCGGAAAAATAGAGATAATAATGCCTGTACTACCTCCATCACAGATGCATTGTGAAGAAAGCACTTTGTAAACCATTATTATTTTCAGTTTTTCTCCTAAGAGGCTACTATAAGACTAAAATGTAAGTATGTTTAAAAAGAGCTTTGATAAATGAGTGAGTGAAAGACCCATAATGGGATGTTTGGGAACACATCCTTAACCTTTTTAGAAATGGTGCTTTTACTAGGACATCAAAGAGGTCATGTAGCTTCCCCCCCCCACTTAATAAATTATCGAAGTAAAATATTCAATTCTAGGCATTCATTATCATATCATCAATAATGGTGATACAGGAAATTCTCAGTGGTTTACAGCTCACACTTGGGCATGACTACTTGGTGGGCCCCAGGGGGGATGGGGCAGGGCTGCTGCTGCAGCTCTGTTGGCCTCCCTGATGAGCTCACAACGTATGCTGCCAAAGGAACTAGGAGTCCCTGTGCTGCCTGAGAGAGGGAGTAGATGCCTTCCCCCCTTGGGGCTTAACTACCCAGTGTACATACTATCAGGTGGTAATTCGACTTGCTGGGAGGAGAGACATGGAAATAACTTCACAAGTTATGAAGGCTCTCAGAGATGGCCAGAATAATATAAATTCCATAAAAGAACTTGAAATTGTTTCTACCTGATGTCAAAGAAATTTATTCCTACAACGTCAGCGAGGAGGAATGTCAGCTGTCAGGCACCAGGATACGAAGTGCATCGAACTAAGGCAACGTGTTGAGGTGCATGTCAGCAGTGGGAGTTCTGCCATCGAACGCTGGCAAATCATTGCACTCCCCTCCTCTCTTTTGATGTGTTACAACACAGTGTGTGGCCAGACAGATTTTCCTGTCTTGCTGTTAGAAAATGTTAGGCTCTGCTGGTATTTAAAAAGCATAAGGACATTGAGAAAACAGCTCTATTCTCTACATTGTTCTGAGAGAAGATACATTGTGTAGTGGATCAAGGGTCTGGACACTGGGGGCAAATCCTGGTTCTGCACTTAGCTGCATGACCTCTGGCAAGTCATGTTTCCTCTAGGAGCCTCATTGGTTTCCCCAGCTATAAAATAAGGATATTTTTTGTAATGTTGTGCTCACAAGGTAGTTAGGAAAGCACCACTTAAATGACTGACATGCTTCAGAAAGTATTATTATTGCAGCAATCCTGTGATTGGTATAGGAACGTAATAGAGGGGAACTCCTGATTGACAGCTGCTCTGCAATTCTTAGTCTTACTTGGGGGAAGCTAGGTGGCACAGTGGATAGAGCACTAGCCTTCAAGTCAGGAGGACTTGAGTTCAAATTTGGCCTCAGACACTTACTAGCTGTGTGACCCTGGACAAATCCCTTAAAAAAAATTATAGTCTTAGAGAATTGCCTGGGATGTGAGAATTTTAGTGACTCGCCCAGGGTCATACAGACAATATTTGTTGGAGACCAGACTTGAACCTAGGTTTTCCTGACTTTGAGGCTGCTCTCTATCACTATGCCACACTCCCTTCCAGAATGAGTGATTTTTTTTTAAATTTATTTATTTTTAGTTTTCAACATTTACTTCCACAAGATTTTGAGTTTCTAATTTTCATCAGAATGAGTTGATTATTAATAAACATCTGAACCAAAATTAAAGGATCACAGAATATACAGTTTGAAGGGATGTTCACCAGAGCCAATACTTGGCTTTAGAAACTCTTGACACCAAAGTTAGTGCTCTTTCCATTACACCATACTGCCTCAAGGACAAATACCATTAATGTATGCTAGTTTTCACTGAGCAGAGAAGGGTATGTGTGTGTGTGTGTGTGTGTGTGTGTGTGTGTGTGTGTAGCTGATTGTGGGAGAGAGTTAAGGAAGGTAAGGGCAAGGGAAAACATGGTGGGGGGAGTATGGAAAAGTGATTGTTTTATTGCATTTGTTTGATGCTGACCCAGCTGAAAAAAAATAAAAGGATTCAAGGGGAGAAAAAAATCCCACCCCAAGTATTAATATTCAAAGCCTATCCAGTGCATCTTTAAATATATATGTATATATACATATATGTATATATGTGTGTATATATATGTATATTTTGGAGGAATGACTAAATCTAATTCCATGGTTCTTTTCCTCAAATAGAACAGGGGACATACTAGTATTCCCCTAGTGAAAACAGGGTCAATTTAATTTAGAATTAATAAGCAATGAACTAGCTCTCCAATAGTAATTATTTTATGTTTAACTAATAGTTATGTCTGTTATTATGTACACTATCTATCCAGCAAGGGTTCTTAAACCTTGTTTGTGTCATGGAAACCTTTGGCTGTCTGGTGACACTGATAGACCCCTTCTAAGAATAACATTTTTAAATGTGTAAAATAAAATATATAAGATTACAAAGGAAACTAATTACAATGATTTATAGCTATAAAAACATTTTTAAGAAAAAGTTCACAGATCCCAGGTTAAGAATTCTTGCTCTCGAGGGTCAAAAAACTCTGTGTGTGTGTGTGTGTAAATGACCACCTCCTTCTTCAAGCAGAATGTAAGCTCCTTGAGAACAAGAGTTGTTTCATTTTTGTATTTTCATATCTATTGCTAAGCATAATGCCTTGAACTGAATAGATGTTTAAGAAATTTTTTGTGGAATTGAAGTAGAGTATTTGACTTGTATTCAGAACACCAGAGTCTTGAGTCCTTTTTCTGTCACTGAGCAGGGTAACAGGGGGTGAAGTCATTTAAACCTTTTTGAGCCTCAGTTTTCTCATCTGTAAAGTGGGGACAGTAATACAGGCACACTCCCTACTTTAGAATTGTTAGAAGAAAGTTCTCTGTAACCTGTAGGAAAGAAAACACTTAATGAACTATAAAGTATTATATAAATATGGACTATTATGCATTATCCTAATTTGTATTTTAATTATACTCCTCCACTGAAGTCCTTCTCCTCCCTCCTAATAGCTAACATTTATTTATATAGCACTTTAAAATTTACAAAGTGCTTTTCATATATTATTTCATTTGAGCCTCACAACAATCCTGTGAACTAGGAGCTACTATTATCCTCATTTCAGAGAGGAGTAAACTGAAGCTGAGAAAGGTTAAGTGACGTGTATAGGTCATGTAACTAGTAACTATCTGAGGCAAGATTAAAACTCAGGTCTGACTGATTCCCAAGCCCAGTCCTCTGTGTGTGGTTGCGATTCTGGGTTCTCAAAGTACACATCAGCCAAGTAAATACCTCAGCAAGTCCTCTCAAACTGGAAAGGTTTGAGTCTAGAACTAGTGGTGGACTAAGTACTGTCCATAAGTCAGGGTAGCTAAGTTTAGAGAGGCTCATCACCAGGCCACAGGGTCATGGATTTTTTGGACATGGCAGTTCTTAACAACTACCCAATATATTGGAGAAGGGTTGTGATTTTCATCAGAGAAGGACGTGATAGATCCTAAAAATGGGGAAGGGGTGAGGGGATAAGACTTAGACAAAGTAATCAAGTGAGTTTTATTTTCTGTCCTTGACTTTAACCTAAGTACCTTGGGGTCAGGAACCACCATGTCCCATTTGTCTTCCTGTCTTCCACTCCTCCTCACCTTAGCATAGAGCATTGAACACATGCTTCATTTCCAAATGAATGAATATTCAGCTTCTACTCCAAAATGGCCTCTAGATTTTGTATTTGCTATTTAACATGTATCAAATAGGAACTAACTTCAAACTTTACTACTTGTGTGACTGTTGAGAAGTCACTTATCTTCTCTGGGATTCATTACTTTCATTTGCAGAGGGTCCTAGATTCAAATCCTAAGTCCTTTGACTTAAGTGCTACTTGTATTGCAAGTCACTTAACTTCTGTAGGCCTCAGTGTCCTCATCTGTAACATAAGGGGTTAAGTTTGATGTCCTTGAGGTCTTTTCTAGCTCTAACCATATGATTTTATGAGGGAGGTTAGAATAAAGGACTTCTGAAGTCCTGTCCAGCTCTGTGATCCTACAATGCATGAACCCATGGGATCTCCCCTGGTATATTTCCTGAGCCCCAAAGACCGAAGAGCTAGCTTCTGACTTCCCTGCAGGTAAATCTTCCCCTATACTAGAAGGAACTTACTTGTTCTTCCTCTTCCCTCAGGCTGGGCATGGTGCTGATAGACAGATTCACTGCGGTGATGGTCACAAACAGCACAGACAGGCAGGCAAACACCTTCCCTGGCAGCCCCGAATGAGGCCTCTCCACCATGTCCTGCAGCCTCTTCATGCACTGGCCCAGCCCGGTCTCCTCGGCCATCTCCCCGGGGCTCTCACTCTCCAGCAGGTCATCCTCCCTTTCATTCATCTCAGCGAACTCCTCTATCTTCTGCAAGTATCGCCGCCGGCAGCACCAGTCCAGGTTGTCCTCCTCGATGCCCCAGTACAAAAGCTCCTCCTGAAAAGAAAGGGCACACATCTCCCTGAGCAGCCGGAGCTTCCCCACCCGGAGGAAAGTCAAGATTGTCCGGAAGGCCCCAGGGTTGCGGTCGAAGAAGAACTCATTGCAGGTCACATCATAGTCATCGCAGACGTTGAGGATGTCATCAAAGTTGGTGCAGGATTTCAGCTGGCCCAGACGAGTCAGGGGAAACTCATCCAAGGTAGTCCATGGCAGCAGGTACTTGATCCCCCCCACGTTGATGATGATCTGCCTCTTGCGGTCTTCAGGTTGACTGCTTTGGTGGACATTGTCTTTGGGGTGAAGTCTCTTGGCTCTGCGGTAAAACACACCCTTGAGGGACTCAGACCGAGGAAAGAATGCATGCTGATGACTGAAGGAGGCATCAGAAGTGCAGCTCAGGGCACTGTAGTCATAATCGGAGTTTTCTCCAGGCAAGAGGGTCATTTTGGTAACTTAACATCAGCAGCAATGAAAATCTGTAATAGGAGAAGAAAGAAAAGGGTGGGTGGAATCATATCTTTCTTATAATGATCAATCTATAGGATAATCATAATAAAGCAGCATTTACCTTGCATTTTAAGGTTTATGAAGCAGTTTACATACATCATTTCATTTCATTCTCAAAATAACCCTATGAAGTAGGTGTTATTATTATTCCTATTTTACAGATGAGGAAACTGAGGGTTGGAAAGGTTAAGCAACTTCCCAGAGTCCATAGCTAGTAAGTGCCCAAGGCAGAATTTGTGCTTAAATCTTTCTGACTCCAGTTCAAATGTGGAATCCACTGTAACCCCAAGATGCCAAGATTTAGAACTAGAAGGGACCTTAGAAGCAACTGAGTCACAGGATCATAGATCTGGAACTGGAAAGGACCTCAGAGGCCATCTAGTGCAACCCTTCCATTTTACAGATGAGGAGACAGAGACCCAGGACTAAGGTCATACAAGCAACAGATATGGGATTTAAATCTATCAGTCTTCTGACTACAGCATTACTGCCTCTCAATCAATCAACATGCTTTAACTCAGTACCTAATGTGTATCAAAGAGTAGCTAGGTGGTGCAGTGGATAGAGCATTGGGCCTGGAGTAAGGAGGACCTGAGTTTGAAACCAGCCTGACACTTACTAGCTGTGTAACCCTGGGCAAGTCACTTAATCCTGTTTGCCTCAGTTTCCTCATATGTAAAATGAGCTGGAGAAGGAAATGGCAAACCACTCCAGAATCTTTGCCAACATAACCCCAAATGGGGTCATGAAGAGTCAGACATGACTGAACAACTGAACAACAATAATGAAAAGAAAAATTACCACTGAAAGACTTTGGTGTTCTGTTCAGCATAATGGATAATCATGACTTCAGAATACTAAGGATGAGTCACACTTCCCCACCTCTTAGCAGTGGGGTGATGGACTAGAGAGGTGAAGAACAAAACATACATTTTCAGATGCAGTCAATGTGATGAGCTGTTTTGTTTTCTGATTTGTTACAAAAGGAGGACTTTATTTTTGGAGAGGGAGGAGGAAGTTGGTGGGTAGTGACCACGATGGAAAAAAAAAAAGGAAGGAAAAAGAGCATCAATGAAACAGTAAAAAATTCGCAGAGTTAGAAGCAAGTTCAGAAGGGGACACATATAAGGAGGGCAGTGTTCATAGTACTGTGTTAAATTTAATGAACATGAAAAAAGAGATTTTACATAACAGAAATGTAATTTCATACATGATCCTCTTTGTACTTTAAAATGTTTGATAGTTAAGTTCATGAATAAAAAAGAAAATTTAAAAGATTTCATCCCTTTGTCCTTGCAGCCTTCTCACCCTAAAGCATCCCTCTGCCCTTGGGGTTGGGTCCTTTTCCCCACTGGTGAGTTCTTGCCAGAACTTCCATTTTAAGGAAGGGCCCCAGGTCAGCCATCTTTCGCCCTTCAGAGTCACCTTGGCTTGTATTCTCACTCTCTGAACTTTGGCACTATGTCTACCCCACCTCCCATTTCTTTTTTGGTGTTATCTTCGCCCCGTAGAATGCAGAGTTTCTCTTTGCTTATATTTATATCTTCAGCAGTCAGCACAGTGCCAGACACACAGTAAGCACTTAATAAATGCCTGACTCATGTTACTAAAGGGGATGGTACTTGAGTTGAGCTTTGAAGTCCACTAGGGACTCTAAAAGGTCAATGTGAGGAAAGACTACATTCTAGGCATGGGAGACAGCCAGTACAAAGGTGCAGAAAGAGGAGATTAGTTATTGAGTATGAAGGAGAGCTAGTACGTAAGATCAGTGACACTGTAGACTGTGAGAAGCAGAACAATGAAAAATAAGACTTGAAAGGTGGTTTTTATTTATGCATCCAATTATTCATTCATTTGCCCAAACTATAAGGACTATTTTGGAGATTCAACTGTATGTGACCTTGAACCACAAAATCTTAGTGCAAAAGGTTACCTAGAATGTGGGAGCTGAAAGGGACCTTAGACTATAGAAGGTAGACTGTGGGAGCTAGAAGGAATCTTACAACAGAGAATATAACTGGGAGATTCTTAGTGCACAGGATATTAAATCTGGAAAGTACTTAAACATGGCACCATGAGATGAAAAGGGCTGAAGGACACAAATAGACCATTAGAACCTGAAGAACTGTTACGCAGGAGCTCTTAACTTTTTCTATGTCTTGGGCCCTTTTGGCAGTTTAGTGAAGCCCATGAATTCCTCAGAATAATGTTTTTAAAAGTATAAAATAACATACACAGGATCACAAAGGAAGCCAATTTTATTCAAATGGTTATCTATTTATTATCTATCTATCTATCTATCTATCTATCTATCTATCTATCTAGCTAGCTAGCTAGCTAGCTAGCTAGCTAGCTATCTAAAGTTGACAGTCGCTATAGAAGTCAAGAGTTTCTATGATCCAAGAGCCCCTTTTAGTTCAAATACTCTAGTCCAGGGGTGGGGAACCTGTGGCCTCGAGGCCACATGTGGCCTGCTGGGTCCCAAGTGCAGCCCTTTGATTGAATCCAGACTTTACAGAACAAATCCCCTTAATAAAAAGGATTTGTTCTTTAAAACTTGGACTCAGTCAAAAGGCCACACCCAAGGACCTAGAAGGCTACATGTGGTCTTGAGGCTGAAGGTTCCCCACCCTTGGTTCTTAGGATCCCAGTTCCAAGCTGGAAGGGCTTGCAACCCTCTTATTTTATAAGAATGTGAAATCTAGGGACCAAGGAGATTAAGTGATTTGCCCAAGGCCACATCTGTAGTAAGTATCAGAGCTGGCATTTGAACCGACGCCCTCAAACTCCAGGTCCTCCCATACTTTTCCCACTGTACCATGCGTGATGGTTTATCTTCTTCTAGATGACATAATCTAAATCTTTCATTTTGCACATAAAGAAACCGAGGCCCAGAGAAGTCACTACCCCAAGATCATACAACTGGGATTACTGAGCAACAGAAATAAAACCTGTGCCTGTTTGAACGCACCCTCTCCACATATTTGAGAAGCATAATCATTATCAGCAAATAATCCAGCTAGAGAATGCAAGCTTACAGAACCAGAACTAGGGATAGGCGGCTGCCAAAGGCTCATAATGAGAGGGAAGGGGAGGGCACCAGAAGAAGAGAATGCTTTTAACGAGCCTGTTCAAATCTCAGTGGCTCCGTGATCTTCACCTGTCCTAGTGCTCATTCCCCTGGTGCAGGTGTGCCTCAGGCACATCTTCTCATCATACCCAGTTCTAGTCATACTTATTTATAGAGGTCCTCCACAGAAGAGAGGACTTGGCAGGGTCTTCCTCTGGTTCTCTGAAATTCTCAAGTGTAGAGTTCAGTACCCAGGTTGCCCCTTTATTTGCTGCTGTTATTCAGTTGTTTCAGTCATGTCTGACTCTTTGTGACCCCCTTTGGGGTTTTCATGGCAGAGATACTGGAGTGGTTTGCCATTTCCTTCTCCAGCTCATTTGACAGATGAGGAAACTGAGACAAATGGGGTTAAGTGACTTGCCCAGGGTCACACAGCTAGTAAGTGTCTGAGGCTGGATTTGAACTCAGGAAGATGAACTTCAGGCCCAGTACTCTGTCCACTGGGCCACCTAGATGACCTACCCATTTATTATCTATCCTTTTTGTTATTTTTAAAAAATATGCATTTATTTTTAATGCTAGGAAATTCAAGTTTCCATGGCTAGTAGGTATTGTCTTGGAGAAGTCAAATGGCAAGAATTCCAAAGAAGGCTCTGGGTATCCAGGGGAAGCAAAGTGGTCCCAAAGCATGGAGAGGGTCCTGGCTCTGGCAGCAGAGGATCTGAGTTGAAATCTTGCTTTAGATACTTAACTACCTCTGTGAATTTAGGCAGGTAATTTAAACTCCCTGGACCAGAGGTGACTCACCTGTAAAATGAAAGTTGGACTATATGATTTCTGAGGTCCCTTCTAGCCCAAGATCTGTCAATTAGTGAAAGTAACACATGGGGGGGTGGGGAGGATGGGGGGGTAGAGAGGGTGGTGTGATGGGGGGTAGAAGGTAGTGCAATTTTCCAACCTCATTTAGGGGCTTATGAATGCCTTGTCCTGATGTCACTGGAGAGAAACCTGTTTGCTCAGGGCAACCAAAGACCCCAAATAGTGGGTGAGTTTCTAGAGGAAGAACAAAAATGTAAAACCTTTTATTTCCTTCTTGGGTGCCTTGTGGAAACAAGTTCTACAATACCATAAGAATGAAAAGAGAGATTCAGCACAGGAATGCCTCACAGTGTGGAACAGCTTTGTTCCCAAAGCTGTATGTAAATCCAATAATATGTCACCTGTGCAAGAGGAAACTTCCTATTTCAATGATTGTGAATCCATTCAAAAATGGATTAGCTGTCCCATGAATTACCTTTTGTGAAAGCTGGATTTCCAGTGAAAAAGAATATTGAATTTTAAGTCAATGAACCCGAGTTTCAGTCTTGGACCTGCTCATAACGCTTATGTGACCTCAAGCTCCTCTTGGCCTGTTTCCTCCTCTGTGAATGTTCGTTCCAATAGTTGAACTCTAAAATTCTTTCAAACTTTATATTCTATAACAGACAAACTCTTTTTATGGAGATAATACTTGTGAAGCACTTAGCACACTGCCTGGCACATAGTAGGTACTTGAGAAATGTTTATTCCTTTCCCTTCCCCTTTCCAGGTTAAGTTTCTTTTAAAAAGATAGTTGTAACTGAATTGAAAATTGGTTTAGATACTAGCTCTGATGCTTACTACCTGTGTGACCTTGGGCAAGTCACTTCCTTTCCTCTGTGCCTTATTTTCCTTATCTGTAACATCAGGAAGTTGGACTAGATAGGCTCTAAAATCTTTCTAGCTCTAGATTTATGATCTTGTGATCCTATGAATACTGACTTTTCAGCAAGTGTTTTTAACTTCATATAAAAATGGTAACCAGAACTTTGGTGACACAATCAGGATTCTATGGGGAAAGTATGAGGACAATCACATTCT